TTCGCTGCCGTATAGGTGATCATCGGTAAACCCGACACAGTGGCCTATTAAGAGCTTTGCTGAGTTTAACTCTTGTCATGGATGAGTTCATGGTGTTCTTTTCACCGCGTGTGAGCGACGCAAGGTCTTTTGTGATTAACGGATAGTTCAAAGTCTCTACAAAATCAAAGGTTGACAATGGTGGAGTTATTTATCTTTGGAAGGTATTGCTGGTGGTGTATTGAGCGCTAGAGATACTATTACTGATGTTGATATTATTACAATTGTGCCTAAGATTTTGTTGGTGTTCCATCGTCAGAGGCAAGTTGGTTGATGGCGGCAGAGTACATGAGGCAGTTAACATTTGCGATGTGCTGGGCAATTTTCTACTTTTTTGGCGTTTATTACTGTCAGTGATAGCTTGTAGTTTGTGCGCCAAGGGAATCGTTCGATTTATGTGGTTTCATGAAGTCCATTAAGCATTCGGAGGGTAAAATTTACATTTTAGCAGACAAAAGAGAGTAAACTCTTTTTATATATAAAAATTTCAAAGTACTTTTAATGGCTTGTTCTTTATGCAATCGGAAGAGATAAGCATTTGAGGTGATTAGTCAGATAAATATTTATTTTGAATTCTAAGAACTTAGTTTCAACTATGCAATGAAAAACAATACATATGTAAATATGAATAGGTATTTTTACTCTAGCAAAGTCACTTATCTTCTCGTTATTGGCTAAAATAAATTATTTGACAAAATTTAGTTTTATCCTTATATTTGTCATTGTGGATGACACTGATACTAGCGGATTTCCCACTTTTAGATTCCACTCTTCGAGTACGATGGATCTTTTGTTTATAAATGTTTCTGTTTCGTGATTTCATTTTAGCAATCATTTTCTTCTGGTATGAGGACTAGACATTTTTGGGGGAATGTAATAATCCATATTAACAAAAGCGGAGAAAATTGTGGGTTTTCCAACACATTTTTAATTAAAGATGAGTCGGTTGATTGTGACTCTCCCTTTACGAAGAGCTTTCAAACTTTTCATAAATGACTAGTTTACTCAACTTTAGAATACTAGATATTTCGGCAAAATTCATTTTACAATTTTGTGAAATTTATGCACGTGGCTTCTGAATCATAATGTTAAAATTCTGTAAGATAATGACGAATAATATTCTAAATTGGGTCCTAATTGTATTTTTATACATTGAATTGGATATATTAAGTTTACTATGAAGTTTGTAACACCCAGAACCCTAAGCGAAACATCGCAGACCCTAAATACATATATGTATATATTTATATATATATATAAATAATTAGCATGAAGAGCCGAATCGATGTCAGTATTACTGTCCATGTCCATGTGTCTGTATATACGCGACCTAGTATTTTAGTTTTCAAGATATCGATCAGAAACTTTGCCCTAGTCCTCTTTTCACTAAGAAGCTGCTATCGGAGGAGCAGCGAATATCGGACCAGCGCATACCATATATACCAAGAACTTGTAACGAAAAATGTTTCATTTGACATGAGGGATATCTTCAAGAAATTTACAATGGTGTGGTCTCCGGAAAAATTGTGCAGGTCGAGTCACTAGTTATAAAATTTAATTGCACTGTATTTTAGAACTTGAAACGGTAGTCCGATTGTTATATTTGTAACATAATGTTAGGTGATAGATTTCATTTTCATTTCAGTTAATGATAACAATATACACATACTTAGGGGACTCACAACTTATCATAACGCTTTGTAAAATCATAAATTTTTTCATTGGTTTAAAAAAATTGTTTTTGTTGGATTACATACAAAAAATGAGTTTATGCAATAAAAATTCTCAATTCTAGGTTTTCGGTTAGTTATAACTTAGAACATAATGAGACTGTATGAAACTAACTATAACATAGCAATCAGTGGATTGCCCCTTGATGGCGTTGAAAATATAAGAAAAAGTGATTGAAAATCGTTGAGTTGACATCAGAGTGTTATCAAATGATCTCAACATGTTGAACAGATCAACTCAACACATTTTGGTTCATGTTTTACTGAGTTTTAAACCACAAAATGAAAGAAAATTTTTCGCTCAATCACCCTAGCCGCCAGACTTTGGTCGCTGCGAGTTTTTTCTAGTTCCGAAATTGTAAAATTTCTTTCGGGGAACATGCTTTGGCTTCATTGAATATATTTAACCTTAAAGGCACCTGCAACGGCTTGTAAAAAACGTATGCAAATTAAGATTAAGTATAGTCATGCTTGAATTGACTCAGAAGGAGCCTAGAAGTTTATTCTAAAAATTTGCGAACGTTTTGGATATTCATATAACTAAATGCACATTATATTAAACACAAAATTATTATTGAATTTAAGTGTTCTATAATATATACTCACCTGGTGATAGATTGAACTTCCATAGCCTGAGGATGAACCAACGATATGAACTCCAACACAGCTTCTTACATTACCAATATTTTATATCTGAATTTGTTTACCTTTAAAATATTTTCATTATTATACAACTCCTAACTCTCAGCCCCTCCAGAGCAACACGAAAAGTGAGCGAGCAAACCAAGTTTCAAGCATAAATTTGAAAACTTAAAATTAGCTTATCAAAGTGCATGAAAATGCATAGAACTCCAGTTGGCCTACAACAAAAATAACAAAAAATTCCATGAAATAGAAAAGCAACTAAAGCAAAATAAAACCAAACAAAATGAAAAAAATCACTAAATTTCATCCAGCCGAAATAAATTGCAGTGATGTGCGCAACTGATGCGGCTTTGGTCCGTGCGGCAATTGTGACCGCTGCGGTCACCGCTGAGTGGCCAACGCCTTTAGCCCACTAACAGTTACATACAACGCAAAGCTATTCGAGCGCAATTAACTGCATTTAAATATATACTGCAGCATATATCACTGAACTCTGCCGGCTGCGGTCGAAACTGATGGACCATCAGCATTTATTTTCGTTGCTTATTGTTGTTGTGCAGCAGTGTGGCATTATTTTTGTTATTATAGTTGGCTGCCGACACTCCATGCCTTTGCTGTAGCTGTGCAGATAAAAATATTTTGAAAGAAATTGCATTTCGCTTTCACCGAAATAGTTGCAGTTTTATTTATAGTTGGCGCGCTGCCTGCCATTTCTACTGCCACAAAATGCATGCATGTGTGTGTTTGTGTGTGCGTTTAGCTATATTAAAGTAACTCAAATACAAATTCATATTTGTTGCAATGTGGGCGTTGGCATGCTGAGTGTAATTGCTTTGATTTTCAGTCTCAAAGCTTCCGCCTTGGCTGCTCAGCCTCTTGGCCCAGCCGCGGTCATGGCGTATACGCAACGTGACGACTCGCACGCATTTGCGTCATTCACGCCACTAAAAATGCATTTAGTTTAATGTGTGTGTGTATGTGTGAAAATGAAAGTATGCACAAGATTTATTTTTAATAGAAATTTTCGTGATTTTGTCGCCACAATGCAACGCACAAATGCACCGCTTAATGGCTTTGTCGCCGTGGCGCCGCTTAAAATAGCTTGTCGGCGCATAAAAATAAATGCGCATTTTCCCACTGCAAGTGTGCTCGCTATGCGGCGCGCGGTGCATATAAAGCAACCAAACAAACAAACTACCACAACAACAAAACAAAAAGAAAAACACAAACAATTTTCGACTTTTGAAAGTGAAAATTATGAGCGCATTTGCCGCTGCAGCCCCGACGACGCTGACGACGCCGCATCAGCGGCGCAGACGATGAAAGCGAAAGTGAATGTGACAGTGTGACAAGTGTGCGCCAACGAAACTTAAATTAAAGCCGTATATACTGTGGGCGTTGTTGTGCGAGAATTTAGTAAGAATTTTGTATATTTTGCTGCGCCTATCTCCATTCGTGCCTCCGCTTGGAAGCGCATGTCAATGAACTCTTTTGCATTTAAAGTTTCCTATGAGCGCATTTGACGCTTTGAAATATGAGTATCCGCCAGCGTTGCACTGCCATAACCATCAAAAATGCGATTTATGCTGCTGCGGAGGAGGCCATGCGTAAGTTATGGCAGCGTGTGCGAAAATAATTTTTATACTTTTGTCGGTGCTTTCGGTGGTTTAATGTTGTGATGTGTTGTGATGTGTGTCAGCGTGCTTTGCATATTTGTATAAATAAAAAATAAGACTTTTGGGTTTTAAATTTATTTGCTTAAATTTTTTGAAATATTTTTTTGAAGTAATAATTTTAAGAAAAGTTCTGAGATGAAGTTTTTTCTTCATTTTACAACAAATAACATAAAGACTCGTTTTTCAATGATTACTGCGCGTCAAAATAAATACAAATATTTCTTAAGGTGTAAAATTTATTGTATCTAAATATCCTCAAGTCTTACCAAATAGAATTGTATAGCGACAAAAGGATACACATATCGCCATCTAAAATGTAAAATAAACTAACATTACTTTTCATAAATTTACAAACTAAGGAAAAACGTTATGATAAAAACCACTAATTTTGAAACAAAATTTGAGTTTCGGTTATAAAATGTTTATATATTGGTTACCGTACACTCATAATAACACTTGAGTTTTGGTTATACAATGGTTATATATTGGTTATCCTGCACTTATATTGAAACAAATTTTGAGTTTTGGCTATAAAATTGTTATATGTGACCTGGTCTACGAAAAGGGAGCTAACGTGCGAAAACTAGTTTATGACTTTTTGGATTCTGTCACGTGGAAAAGCATCTCATCTTCCATCCGCATCAACTAAGATTTTTTGACACCTAAGCCCCCTTTCCGTAGACCAGGTCACATATATTGATTATCGCACCCTCATAATGAAAAAAAATTGTGTTTTGGTTATAAAGTGGTTATTATATCTGAGCGATTTTCGATTTGGTGACGATATGTACTTCTTAAAAAAAAAATAATAAATAATTTTTTTTATTTTTTTTATTTTTTTATTCATTTAAAAATCAATTTAGAGCGACAATATTTACAATACTGGATTAGTAAAATTTCCGCTTGAAATTTTAAACATTTTACACATATTTTAAATAGACATACATACGCACATAATAGATATAATAGTAATAATAGTACTAATGTCGTTTGCCTTTAATAACCATATTTTCGGAAGCGCCCAAGTTGGGATCTATATTTGTTGCCGCTGTTGTGCCATCTGAGTCATTGCATAGATCGGTGGTGCAGCTGCGATAGAAAGTTTTGAACGTTGAATCGGTTTTTACGGCATTCAAGTACTAGAAAAAAATTATGTAAAATATAAATTATTAGATCAAAATAGTGATATACAAAATTTTCCATAAAATAATAGTGGTTCGAAATGAATATTTTCTGCGGATATTGTAGAGCAGAGTGGTGGTGGTAAAAACAATTTCGTGATGATATTTTTTACATACAAGCACTTGATTTTTATCGATCGTTTGTACTTCTTGATGATAAAAAGAGAAGTACGATATTCAGACTGATATCTCAAAAACTGAGTGACTACCTCGCATGTATGCAGATGGACTCCCGATACTCATTTATATATATTCTTTATAGTACAATATTTCTTTCTGAACGTGATGAGGGACTAAAATGTCTCTCGCGCATTTTATTATAGTGCGGAGGCATATGACAGACACTTATAAGCAGTTGATGAGTCCTCTCGAAAAATTTGTTAATTTTCAGTCATTTTGTATACACGTGTTCTTATATAAACATCAATTAAGTCTGAAAGATTGTAATTTGATTCCTTTTCCATACTCACACAACAAATTATCCTACGTAGGTTGTCTTCTATATTTCCGGATTTTACTATCCTAGTTTTGCGATCTGGCAATTCACAACTTCAACGTAAAGTTTGACATTTTTAATGGCATACATACTCAGCACGTTTTGATATACGACTTCTTTTCGTGTTGTTTACAGTGACTGAAAATATTCAACTCGCCGAAAAATAGAAATAAATCGTGATTATTTGGACTACTTTCGACGTGAATTAATTCAACAAAAGGGCATTGATCAATTTAATTTAGTTTTTGGCGAATTTCCAAATCAGTTGTTTTTCCGGGAACTATTGATGCTAAGCTCAAACTGATATAACAAGATCCTTAACTAATATTGCCAGATAATCATGTGATCTATCGTCAAATTGAGAAAATTATAGACGCTAAAAAAGGATTCGACACGCATGTTTGAGAGAAATGTTAAAAATATAAGACTACGATACTAAAAAGCTTTCTCTTCTTTTCTGACTTAGAAACCTCTTACGCGGTTATAGTCGACTTTACAATAGTGTGCCAGTGGTTCTTATTTTCGCTGCTTGACGCCAATTGGAGATTCCGAAGGAACGAAGTCAGGTCCTTTTCCATCTGGTCTTTCCAACGGAGTGTAGAGCTTCCCCTTCCTCTGCTTACACCGGCGGCTACTGCATTGAATATTTTCAGAGCTGGAGTATTTCCTCCATTCGGACCTAGCCAAGGTAGCCGCTGTCTCTTAATTCCTAGAATTATGTCAATGATGTCGTATATATCTTATATAGCTCATCTAATACGATATGCGCCGCTGCCAACGCGCAAAGGACCATACATCCTTCGCAGAACCTTTCTATCGGAAACTCGACTCTTCAGATGTTGTCATCGTCCATATACATATCTGCACCATAGGGTATCTGACATTGTGGGTGGTGTTGATATTGGTTTCAAGATAGACGAAATTATCTACGACTTCGCAGTTATCACTGTCAACTGTGATGTGAGAGTCAAATCACGAGTGCGATAACTGATGTCTGATGGCGAGATATTTTGTCTTGCCCCTTAAGGGCGATATAGTGATACATAATATTTGTTTTTGTTCCTTAACACAGAAATTTAAAAGACTACGAGGGTTGTCAGGCTTCTTGTTAGGGTACTAAACTGCTCTATAACCCCTTTATTTAAATGTTAAGTACAGTTGTTTATTTTGACAAGCGGTTTGAAGCTATCTCCCTAGGGATTTCTACAACTTAACCGCTTTAAAGTGATCTAAATCGCACATTTTTTATATGAAACTATGTATGACGTATTGAAAATTGTTATTTAAATATCTTACTGTATGTTTGGCGTCAAAAGTAAAATATTACTCACCAGCGGCTTATCCAAGCAATCGCGTATGAAGGAAATCACTTTGCCAGATGGTCGCTGTAAAAAGAAAAAATTTATTAATTATTGTTGCTATGAATTTATTATGTAAGCCAAAAGCTTAAATAAGCTGAAGGCTTGAATGAATTTCAGTTATCATGATTATTTTATAGTCATAAGAGTCAGAGTCATAAATTATTATTAAGGTTACAATTATGCAATCGAAATTTGTTAAAATAAATTTTTTTCTAGTATTGAAACCACATCTTACACCACAAACTTCATATTCATACATGTATTCACACCAACCTATTTAAAATACTAAATTATATAACAACAAAAAAAACTTTCAAAAATCCGCGCGTGTTATGTGTATGGCTTCCGACTGGTTTTGACAACTACCGCACTCGTGTAAGCTGCTGCGCGTGTCGCATTAACAATGTCCACTAAAATTTGCCAATTGGCAGCCAAAAGCGCGGTTTTGAGGCTGACAGCTTGTTATCTTTGTGGTTTGGCTAAGCACATAAATCGCTGCATTAATTAGCATATTAAAGCTATGCATGGAAATTGTAGCAACAAATATTTATATTTAAATGAAATATTACTAAAAGCGTAGGTGTTCCGTAGAACGAGGCAAGGAAAGGTTGAAAATCACAATCATTTTGACGTAGTTGTTGTCCTCGGCAGGAAAGTGGAGTAGTTACTTTCTACTTTTAATTACAACTACCGTTATGTGTTGGCTGTTTTTTAATCCTACGAATGGTTATATTATATATAAAAAGCTGTTTCTGTTGCAAAATAATATGCTCTGTTAAGCTTTTAAACCGATTTAAATTATTTATATATTATATATATATATTATATATATTTTTCGGTATTTTAAAATTATTGGCAGAAAGAAAAAGTTATGTTCGATTTTTTATTGAACAAATAAAACTGATATTTATAATATCATCAATATAAATATTTTTTTGCATTCAACAACGCTTTGTGAATATATCGAAGTTGCTTCCTTCTTTTTGTTCCTTCTAGCTATTTTTACGCCATTTTTACTTTAAGGTGCACGCTTAATGGGAAATTTTGCAAAAGCAAATTTCTAATGTTTTGGCAAATTTCTATATTCTTTACCTTTGAAGGTAACATACTAAAGTTTTAAAATATTTTTTTAAATAATTTTGCGTTACAGACTTCTAAAGTGTAGCCGCTCAGCTCAATCAACTCCATGAGGTTATTTTTAAAAGAGTTTTTAAAAGATGATCCATTTCGAGGTTTCTTATTTCATTAAAAAAAAGTCACATAAACTTTTAATTTAATGGGAAATGTTGAGATGTGAGAGAACATTTTTTGGCATTAATTTATTATATTTTTCAAATGTTGGCAGCGGCTACGTCTCAGACGATCCATCCGTTGATTCCAATTATCGATGACTCGTTGCAGCATTTCGACTGGTAACTGGCGAATGATACGCGTGCTGTTTTGTTCCAAATACTGAATCGAATGTGGACTCGTAGACTTTAGATTTTACATATCCCCACAGGAAAAAGTCTAACAGTGTGATAACAAACGATTTTGGTGGTCAATCGACCGGCTCAAACGTGAAATTATCTGCTTACCGAAGTGTTCTCTCAATAAACCCATTGATTGATGCGATGTGTGGGAAGTGTCGCCGTCTATTTGAAACCAAATTCCACCGAGATCACGAGCTTCAAGCATTAAATAGTCATTTATCATGGCACGATCAATTTTAAGAAATATGTGCCGATGATTCCACCGATAATCACATCTAGCGATTGTGTTTTTAGGATATATGACAGAACTTTAGGTTGCTCTTTGTTTAAATGCGGTCATTTTGTTTGTTGACATACCCATTGTACCAGAAATGGGTCCCATCGCTGAACAAAATTTAGCGAAGCGATCTCACTTGGGAAGGTCGAACGCTTTCAGTTTTACACAAGTCGTATTTTGTACGCATTAAAGATTTTTAAGATCTCGACGCGAAATGCGTTCCATACGTCAGGAGGAGGCGGCGCCGAATCGATCATCCATGCTCTTTGTGTAGCCTATCAGCTAAGGCTGCTACATTTTCTTGCCGGACGTGGTATATTTGGTCGACTATTGTCCAAAAATGAATGCTGTATCTCAAAATGGGTGATGGTATTGCGAATAGTAGTAGTAGTAACATCTGTCACATCTGTGTTGTGATCTGTCAAAAAAAGTTATTGAAAAAAGCACCTCTACTTGGATCACACGTTATATGACATCTGTTTAATAATTGCCATCTGATTCATTCGATGGTTGCTGTCTGTGATCTTCTAAAATAAATAAGAAATTTCGATTTTCTCCTATATAGGCCAGTATTCCTGAGAAGTAGTCTGAAGGACTTGTCGGATAGATAGACGACTATTTTTGGTATAAAGTCAGCCAAGCGCACTAGGATCACATATTGGGTAAGTGCAGGCTTGAACAGTTCTAGGCCGATTTTGACAATTTTTAGACTCCGCGTGGCTTATCTAAAAAAACTATAAAGTTTTGTTTGAATATATTAGCTGGTTTTAGATTTATGTACTGAAAAGTATAAGTATCAAATGGAATTGAAATTGTCCTCTTTGTCGAGACAATACTACATATGTACTGAATTTGGCCGAAATTAGTTTATAAGGTCCGGAGATATCTCCTAAAGAACTCTCCCTTTAATTGTTATAGATAGCCCAATGCGAATTTTGGTGTTGGCAGTAACAAAATGAAGATGTCTCCTTCAAATACCGTACAATTTAAATAAACTAAATTTTAATAAATAATTATAGACTAAACAGCTCACCAACATAATTCTTGCATTCTACGTACATACATCCATACATATTATATAAAATATAAAAAGTTGCAACTTTTCACATCTGTGTTAATTGCTACACACACAAATGTGCTCACAGCGTTTATATTATATTTCCGCGTAGAACAAATTGCATTTATCACATCCGTCACAAGCATGTTCCATAAACAAAGCAAGAGCATAGTTCGCACGACGCAAACACATGTGTCACATGTCAAGTGGCTGCCACCGCATGTGCTGCAAAAAGTTGTGCCACACGAATTGCCTTGCTGCACATGCAAACAACGAGCGCAAAAGTTTGCTTTCATGTTTTCGCATTTGGAAAAATTTCGCTTAGTAAATAGTACTTACTTTGTGTTCGGAGTCGGGTGTGCGACGTTGATGTATTAGTTACTAATAAACGTACGGCAATTGACGCCAGGAAGCAAGTAATTACCGCACAGTGTTATCTACACACATAAATATGTACATATGTATGAAAATTTGTGAATATGTAATTTGTATATATGCTAAGCTTCAGTTGTGGTGCACGCACACATAAAGCCAGTGCTGGCAATCCATTACAGGTGCAAAAATTGCTGGACATTGTTTTCTGTTGTCGCAACTTTTTTTGCACACAACGCTCATTTCCGTTGCGCTATAATTTTTGTTTTTGACTTTATTTACTTTTTGAAATTGTTCCTGACGGTGTGTTCTACTTTCATCGACTAAATTTTTTCCAGTGTTATTTTATTCCTCTTTAGCTCATTTCCTGCTTGGCTTGCGAGGCAAAGTGTAGCTCACTCTACATGCACATCTGCTTCCGCTGACAGGGGCCAACGTTAAAGTGCGCTTTTGAAGCGAAAATAAATTTTGAGATTCACTAAAGCAAGCTGTGCCCTCTTTTTTCCCACTCCCTTCTCACAAAATCTTCTGTACAAAGGGAAGCCGCAGTAATTTCACCAATGGCACCAATATTAAAAATTGACACAACTGGTTATTTAAAGATACCCATAAAAAGTAATGGACTTAAGTCGGTTTGTTAATGCTGCCACAAAATTGGCAGTATTTAAGGAGTTACATGGGTTTCTTTCGGTTAAAAACAGCCTTTTTGCAGTTATTTTTTCTCATATAAAAAATTAAATATTTTGTGGTTACTTTTTCATTAACAAAGAAATTCTGAAATTTTTGGAAAAAAAATACTTTAAACTCGGCCAATGCGACGTAATTTTCGGCGATCCCTCGAAAATAGATGCGCCCGCGTTGGCAGGATAGTCCTTACAGGATCATCTAAATTCAAAAAATGCGTGTTTTAGTTAAGTTCCTAACTTAGAACATGTCGAAGGAAGATAAACTGAAAATTGAATTTTTGGCAGACAAGTATATGAAAATTTCAGTGAAAATTTCGGTATTTTTTTCTTTTGTTTTTTCAAGTGGTTGAGTTAAGAATTGTACCTTAAAGATTAGCAAGTCTTAAAACCGTCGCTAATATTGCAGTGGATTTCTCAATATAGCTGGAACTATTTCTTTAGGTTACCAGGAACTACCTCTCCATTCCTTCCAAATCCTATATAATCACTCTACAACCACTCTATTACGGCAGGCCGTTTTCAGATGACTTGATTTATTTTCAAGCTTAAACGCGGTCCAAATTTCCTTTCGCCTTGCATTATTTTGTCTAATTCGGAAAAGAATTTTTATATTTATTGCACTTGCGATAAATGGGGATCCCTGGCTTTCACAACCGTTACCGTAAATTTGCTTGTCTTTTTTTCTCAAAACCGTAAGCTCATAGTCAAAGTTGATATGGAGAAGGGTGAGTTGGAAAATGCAGGCACTTTCTTCTCCATTGTCCAACCTTTGCAAGACTGAGGTCTTAACTTCGTCGAACCAGGCATAGCCGAAACTGGCATTGGCCGTCTCGACAAATTTTTGATAAGCTCAAAGTGTTTTGTCTGTTCGTGATCATTTATTTAGAAATTTTAGGTATAAAAACGGACCGGCGTTCTAAGCTGATTAAGTGAGATCCTTGTCAGAAACGACTTGTTAACATAACCTAACCTTCTCAAAAACACGTTGTACAAGATCCTGTCTTTGTTAAAACAATTAATTTCAGTTCAATTTGCTATAGTAGCAGCTTTTTGGAAAAAAGAACGTATTCAAAATATTTGAACAATATTGCAAAACCCGAATGACTAGTTGGTATACGAGTTTAGTATATAGACAGACCGACGGACAGATGGACAGACACACTGTCATGGCTAAATTGAGTTAGCTGGTTATGCTCTTTATTTCTATATACCATACATGTACTTATCATTTCCTATGTTTCTTTTCAAACCTTGACAATCTTAATTTGAACAGGGTATCAAAGTATAAAATTGGTTAATATGTTTTTTATGATTGAACAATTTTTGTTTTTTTTTTTTACCAAACAAGAAAGTCAATGTAAATTATCAGCAATTTCTTCTATAAAGCCTTCATTTATAGTTATGGGTTCTTTTAGAGGCATTTCTGGTACGATTCTCTTATATTATAGGTGAGACAATGTGAGACTAAATGTCCTCACTATTTTAATATACATATATTTAGAGAAACTCGATTTTAAAAGAGTACACTTATTTCCTTTACAAGTTCTATTTCCAGACATAAACAGGTCCGGTATCTTTCTGGTACCTTATTCTGTATTTAGATTGAAAATGTATGCCTTTCGAAATCCGGATCTATCTTATAACTAAGTATATAATTATGGGAAAGGTGTACCACGCTGTGGCAGAATAATTACTTATATTTTTTGTTTTTTGTTTTCTGCAGTTCAAAATCGAATGAACATTTTATTCGAAAATAATATTGTAAATGGGATAATCAAGTTACTGAATACAAAAAAACTAAACTCGAGTTACAGACCAGGATTCCTGATTGGAATGTCGTTTGAGAAAAAGTAGTAAAACGTTTAATAAAAGTATCGAATCGAATAAAATAATTTGTTTCCTAAATAACTTAAAATTACACGTACTGCATTCACGTTATTTGTAATACTCACCACAGATTCTTGACGCATGATCGTACAATACTTCTTCGTGCAATCAGTGATTCGGGTGGAATTAGCATCCATTAGACATGATTTATCCGAATAATCTTGCAAATAAGTGCAAGTGAAGCAGCGCAGGCTAGAAACTGGAAAGCAGTATAATTCAAATGGAATAAATAATATACATTTTTGAGATAAAGACAGAGCAGGGGTAGGGGTAAGAAAATTTTAAGCTTTCGTTAGATGTGTGTAATAAGGGCTTCCTTAGAGAACTAAGCAATAGCAAATATTATACTCCAATAAAAAAAAAATTATTATTTTTAAAGTGGACTGAACTTCCTTACTTTCAGTTCAGCTTTGGTACTGTGAAATACGAGTACAACTCGCACTTCATTTATTTATTTTCTCTCCCGTCATACGAAAAATAAATTAACGAGGACGCTTAATTTTGTTTTATTTTGAATATAAATTTAAATCAACTGGCGAGCAAAAATAAAAGTCAAAATATTTTTAAATTAAATTTGTGGCCACCGAAATAGACAGATGGCCCCACATCAAGAGACGGACGACAATTTTTTTTCATTAATTTATTTCTTTCAAATAAAACTAATCTACGTGATTCTTGGCAACCGCAGCGACTGCAACAGCAACAACACAACAATAATGCTAACGAAAAACAAGCACCTAAACATAGACAAACACACTCAAGCTAAAAAGCGCCAACTGCCGACCGAAAAAGACGTGAAACATTTGCCAAGTTACGCGCGGCCTCGTTATCGTCGCTGATGGTGTAATAACAATGACGTCAATGCGTAAGCGGACAGACAAAGAAGTTGGCAAGCGATGGCGTTGGACCAGAGGCCATACGAATCAACGCCGCCATGGATGCAGCATAGACCCACACACACACATATATGTAGATATGTGTGTATTTATAGCAGTGTTGATGCATTGCTGTTGAGGCTGCAGCGTTTGAGATTGCCAAGAAGGTTGGCCGTGCTCGCGTCATGCTTTTTGGTTTGAAACGCCACAAGAAAAGAAACTAAATAATAAAATTGCAAATAGAGGAATTGTTAATAAACAAGTTCTATTAATAATTGAAAATTTAGTGTACAACTATTAAGTTTATAACAAAAAATATGTATATTCTTACAGGGTAAGGCTAGTACAGGGTTTTAAATTTTTCTTCTATACATTTGTCTTCAAATTTTGTTTTTATTAAAATATTAATTATGCTCATATGCCAGATTGGATATTGCATTGATACCAGATATATTCAGTTGCTAGATCCAAGAGAAGTAACCATCCTTTACGATGGCTGCGCTTGACGCACATTTTAACAGACTCTGCGGCCTCACCATCGATAAGTCCTCCAGTGTATCATACCGTGAGAACTCCAGATGCTTACAGTCTTCTCTATCTGTTAGCCCTATTCTGCGGATGTGTGTCGCCACCAGATATTGAGCAGTCTTCCTACAGTCACTTCTATCGAACGGAAAACATTTTTTGTCACAAAATATCTTCACGAAGTTTGGCATGAACTTTCTAGATCAAATCACTATATCATACAGCTATAATACAAACTGACCGATCAAAACTAGGTTCTTATATAGAAGCTTCTTTATTTGTGAGGGCTAGCATAACATATTTGCAGCCGAAGTTGACTTTTTGTTTTTATTATTATTGCTATTATTTTCGGTTAAAAAATTTATCGTTTTCTCAAGTTCACAATTTTTCGAAAAACGACGCGACTCTCGCATGATAAATTACCCGTTATATACCTTATAATATCCTTTCAAAAAGGTATTTTGTCAGAATGACCCAAATATTAAAATATCTACACTATTTTTGGAAACTCAAATACTATGTTTATTTTTCCTCTCTTCCACAATATGGTGAAGTTCTTTTTTGTGGGCTCTGTATCAGATTAGCCTTTTGAGAATTATATTTATAGATGAAGCTTTACTTTTCTTACAAAACTATGATGTTGAATGTTAGTACCTTCATATATGAAATTAAATACCCATAGATTCTTTCAAAATTTTCTAAAATACTTCAAAAGTTCAGTTTGTATACCAAATGTGTCTATACACAACGCATCTGAACTTATACAATAATAAACAAATATGTGACTTAATTTATACATACTTATATATACAATTTATACATACTTATATATATATATATACAGCTACACATACACACCTATAAATTTCTTGATTATAATTAATAAGAGAGGTGTGTCTCCGAAGCATTTTCATTTAATTTCATTGGAGTGAACTTTTATTGATTAAAATATCACCGAATATAGAAATCAAAACAAAAACTAAAAATAACAACAAAAAAAAAAAACTGAAAACTAACAAAGAAATAAAAACGAACAACAAATATAATATTAGTTTCAAATCGAGTGGAACACCCAAATAAACAATGCATAAAAATCACTAAACACTGGCGATAAATTAAAACAACAAACAACGGCGAAGACTACCTCAACGCCAACAACAACGCAACAAACACATATTGTAGGATTTTATTAGACTTTGATTTTCACGCCAGAGAAACACTCAAAGTGAATTAGTTGCGCTACAGTGTGTTATTATTGCTTATTTTCCGCTCAATATTGATTTTGCCTTTGCCCAAGTTTATGTGCGTAATTTGTGTGCGACTGCCAAATGGCAAGACCACTTTTTGGATATGTATATATAAAATAAAGATGTATGTTTTTCCACATTTGCACGTTTCTTAGATTTGTGCTGAAAATACATCACGCAGATTTGTTCTGTTGCGGCCGCTTTTGCTGTGAAATGACTTCATGAAAGTGTGAAAATTCCTATTTTTAGCCCGATATATATGTATATATTTGTGTATATTTACATATTATGTACAAATGTTGTTCTTTACTCTTAAGATGTAAGCATGTTCGAAGTGGCAAGTTTTGCTGCCGTGGACATTTATCATCTTCAGGCCAAGTTCCACTGGGTGTCTTAGTTGTTTTATAAAGAGATATTAGTTCTTTACTCTTTGTAATATTTATACGTATATATGTATGTATATGTTACATCACGTGTAACAAATTACTAAACAAAAAATTTCTGATAATTTTTTGATTTTTTTATATCACGTCTGACATACAAAAACAAAAATAATATTAATCAATTAACAAGGCGCGTTAAGCAACGTCACAAAGAATAATAAGCCTCCTTCTGGCTTAAATTCTCCTTCATACGTTCATGAGTTGTAAGCCAAATACTTGACTTTTTATTTTGACATGATCTTTTATAGGCGAGTTTTAGAGAATACTCAGCGAAATAAAAAAAGTGATAACGACATTAGGTCCCACTCATTATTCTCCTTTATATAATAACTACAGTTCGTTTCGTATGTTTTCATTCTTATTATCGATAAGTTTCGATTGCTATAATTCAAATAAGGAATTGTTGAATATCAAAATATCGATAATTTTTTAAATAAACTTAAAATTATATTTAGTCGAACTGTTGAAAACTACCAAAGAACAAACAGTAAAACCATAAGAGTTTCAGTACATTTCCAAGCTTTTACTCCCAACAAAATTATTATATAATTTAAATATTTTAAATAAAGTTCTTTGTCAATACCACAATAGGAAAAATATCGATTGCTCTTAATAAATATTAAATTGAAATTAAATTTTAAGGAAAGAACAAAAAAACTCGTTATTCCAAAAATTCTTTCACTTTTGCCTCAAAATTTATCGATATATGCATTTCATTATAAAAATCGAAAAATTTATCGATACTATAATTTCAAAAATTGTTAAATTCTTTAAAATAATAGCAAATATTATCGATTGTTTTCGTTAACGGAATAAAACATCGATAAAGATAAAAAATCTTGCTATTTTTATAATTTTTTTTTTATTAATAATGAATATAATTTAGATATTAGTATTATACATATATGTATTTTATCGATAACATAATACCTCAAAATATCGATTATTTTTGTAATCGAATGAAATTTCGATGATTTGTTTTATATTCAAAACTTTTAAATTACTTTAAAATAGAGGCAAATAGTATCGATTGTTTTCGTGGAAGGAATAAAATCTCGATAAATATAAAAACTCTTGCTTAAAAGTAATGCAAATAATTTAGATATTAGTATTATACATATATGTATTTTATCGATAACATAATACCTCAAAATATCGATTATTTTTGTAATCGAATGAAATTTCGATGATTTGTTTTATATTCAAAACTTTTAAATTACTTTAAAATAGAGGCAAATAGTATCGATTGTTTTCGTGGAAGGAATAAAATCTCGATAAATATAAAAACTCTTGCTTAAAAGTAATGCAAATAATTTAGATATTAGTATTATATAGATTTATATTTTATCGATAACAAAATACCTAAAAATATCGATTGTTTTTGTAATCGATAAAAGTAACGATTATTTTTGCAACATTTTTAATATTAGATGTCCTTATAATTTAAACGAAATAAGAAAAAACGTTTGCACATTTTCTAAAATCCTTCCATTTAATAGTTCTTGTTTTTAAATTATATTAAACTTTCCGAGAAAAATGTTGTTATCTCTTGCATTTATAGCAATGGAAATACCCTTTATAGCCATATACAACAAAATTGAAAAATTTGACTTAGAGTTCGAAAATAATCTTATTATGAAACGTTATTCTTAATCATAGTAAGCAGTTAATAAATAATAGAGACGTTTTAAAGCCCAATGTCGGATCTTCGAATAAACAAAAATTCATATCAAAAATACTTGTAAACTTATGTATATATTACGTAAGTAGGACCGAAAAATATTATCATCTATTGAAATGCGATGAAAACATAGCTGTCGTGTCGTGTTTTTCCTTTTTTTTTTACGAACTTCCTTATTGAAGCATTTTTTCTCTTCTGCCAAAGCTCACTGCAAATTACACTGTGCACCAAATTCACCTCAAAATTTAGTTGTATCTTTCACAAATTTAATTCATATTATTTCTTTTGCAATTCAGAATTATTTCTTTATTATTAGTATGAGTATGACATTTTCTAGTCATCGCACTTTATATATAAATTATAATTTATGCACTCACACATAACACAAATACAATAGGAAAATACTACGAATGCGTATACCCGGACCAAACGATTTCCATTGATTCGCACGAAAAGCCGCTGAGTAGTACTTCTCCGTGTAGAATTAGATATGATTTTCGCTCATATTTTCCTCCATTGAATATATGATACAAATGTATGTATGCATGTTTTTCTGTGTAAGTAGCATTCTGAGTGACGCGTGGGTTACGCATGAAAACACACAACAATTCACACACATCGTCACAGATCAGAGAGAATTAGCTGCAACCCAAATGATAGTCAAATTTTGATGAAGTGAAAATTATTCAATTTTTTCGCCTTCATTTTTGGCAACAACACACATATTGAAGTACAAATATATGAAAAATTGGATAAATTGTACTGTTACACGGCTGGTTGCCAACTAATTTAGCTTACAAGGGGCATAAGCTGGATACAAAGACGCTTTTTTATAATTTAAATTTTTTTGTGTGAATGAAAGCAAAGGACAAACTCATGTATATTTGTATCTATATATATATTTACAGATGTATGTGTATATAAATATGCTTGTTTTCTCGTGGCTTAAAGTAAAGCAATCAATTTCTTACAAAATCGTTTCTGGGAAACGCAGAGTGTCGTCAAAGCGCCCTCATTTGCGGTTGTTGAAAAAATACTGAGTTGGAAACATTTGAAAATTTTTGTGTTCACCTTTTTTTCTGCTTAAATTGAAACAATTAATTTTTACTTAAAATATTATGACATTGAAAAATCATATAATTGATGAGTTTTCAGAAGTACAAATGTTATAAATATACCTTCTTGTGTTGTAAAACTTTGTGGAAAAAATTTAATAACAAAATTAATCAGAAGAATATATATAAGTAAGTATATATATATAGTTTTAAATGACCCAACTTTAATTTTTTTATGTATTTCTTTATATTTATGATCGACTTATCTATTTCTCGGTAATTAACTCAGTGAGTAGCGCTCTATATATATGAAGGAGTTCCCCGGATTATTTGATATATGTTTTTTTATTAGTTATAATACCATATTCTTAAATTTTTACATATAAATTTGTATATAACTGAGAACACATACTCAACTCACTATTCACTATTGTTAAAATGCTTTTACTGAAAATTTAAAACGTTGAGTCAGGTTAGATTAGCTATAGATAGGTATAGAGGATAGGTAGATAGGTTTCATATCCATGCAAATGCAATAATTTCTATAGCAAAAAACAAAAAAAAAAAGTGTTTCACCAACATCCCAAGTTCATTACATATTTCTACCACGATTATTAAAACCAATAACAGAAAATTTTATTTTTTATTGCAAAGGGTAGCAAGCTTTGTTAAGCTCAGACAAAAATTGTTGGGAGAATCCCTCCCCAAAGTCTTTAAAAAAATATAACAAAATTATAGTGAAAAATTGTCTACCTTTCCAGATCGCTACCAATTGATCACATACCCTGTCTAAAAACTAAATGATCCTCAACCAAAAACAAGTCAAAGCCATTTACACTCAATCATGTAAGGTGGCGCAACCTTGTTGAACCCCTATGCTCCAGAGAGGAGTGACAAAGTACAAAAATACTTATGAGGAAAAAACACTCGGGCAGTGACCAGTCAGAGCCACTATTACTAGAATGAGAAATATACTTCTGAGCATAAGAAGCTGTAAAAAACATGTTGAATGAATTTCTAACGATTCATTCCTGGTCAGAACGCTATTACGGCTTCCCATATGATGTGATTTTAACTTTCACTGGCAATACATGAATCTACCATTTCCAAGAGAATGCTAAGACAAAAACAGCATGCTAACATGATGATTGTTAAATATATAATAAAAGTTTTTGCAGATTCATGAGGATGTGCTACCACACCCACCATACTCTCCAGACTGGGCACTTGTTTCGCTATCTGCAATATTTTTTGAATAGGAGGAGGATCTTTACTTCAAATTAGGACACCAAAACGCACTTTTACCAAGTTTTTTCCTGCAAGAATGAAATACTTTATATGTGTGGAATCAAACCTTGCCCGAACGATGGAAAAATTGATAATGTATATATTGTCATTAAAAGTTTTACATAAGAAAAAAATCGCGATTAAATTGCACGAAAAAACTAAATCACTTAGTAAATGAACCAACATGGTAGCGGTCAGCACAATTTTTAGCCACATGAAGGGGCATGAAAGCTTTAGATTACTTTATAAACGTTTCCGTTGAGGTTTCCTTTTTATACTGGAAAAATAGAAAATGCTTTCTTCTTCTTCTTTACGCGATTATAGCCGAGTTAACAACAGCGCGCCTCACAATTCTTTTCTTCTTTTCTAGATGGTTGTCGTCCATTCGGACAACATGACCTAGCCAGCGTAGCCGCTGTCTTTTGACTCGCTGAACTATGTCAATGTCGTCGTATATTTCCAATTGTCCAAGCCTCTGCTCTGAAGGACGAGAATTATGAGTGACTTATAGAGTTTAGTTTTTATTTGTCGAGAGAGGACTTTGCTTCTCAATTGTTTACTCAGTCCGAAAGAGCACTTGTTGGCAAGAGTTATCCCTCGTTGACATTGTTGGTAGTGTTTATGCTTGTTCCTACATATACGAAACTATCTACAACTTCAAAGCTATGACTGTCAACAGTGACGTTGGAGTCAAGTCGCTAGTGCGAAAACCGTTTGTTTGTTGACATGAGATATTTCATCTTGTCCTCACTTCCCTCCTTATCCAATCTCGAGAAAGTAGAACGCGATTGCTGAGGCCAATGATATCAATACTATCGGCGTATGGCTCAAGTTGTACACTCTTGTAAGAGATGGTAGTATTTGCTCCGCCAATAGATTGAAGAAGTCGCACTGATGAAAATTTCGGTGTTGCTCAACGTCATCTTACACATCCGTATTAGACATAGCGTCATAGACTCAGTTCGCGTTCGTGCTGTCGAATGCATCTTTAAAATCAACTCATCACTTCTTGGTGTGCGTCGACATTTCTTTCATAGGACTTTTCCAAATATTGACGCATAATGGAAATCTAGTCGATAGTAGATTTTCCATGTCTAAAGCCACACTGTTAATCTTCAATCAGTTTATGGAAGGTGGAGTTGAATCTTTCGCACAAAACGTTCGATAGAATCTTATATTCGATGTTGAAGAGGCTTATCCCACGATAGCTAGCGCAGATTGTGTGATCTCCTATTTTGTGCTTTCGTCCGACCCTAATCAGGCGTACTTCGCCGCCATATTTCAATAGCTACCCGCCACCGCCGGTTTGTTGTTCTTCAGGCTTAAAGAAGGCTATACGAACTTCATCGTGATCGATTGGGGAACCGGATTTACCATCTCCTACTGTTACACTTTCACTGCCATTCAGCATATTGGAAAAGTGTTCCCTTCATAATTTCACTATGCTCTGAACATCGGATACATTGTCAGCACTTTGGGTCCTACGAGAGTATGGTCCGGTCTTGTAACCTTCCGTTAGTCGCAGCATTCCCTCTGTCGGCCAGCTTCTCAAGCTCTACATACAGATGAACTTTTTACGCATATACGTTTTTCTAGAAAGCAAAAAAACGACGCATTCTAATAAAAGACTGATCAATCAAACTCAAGTCCGTGTATGGAAAATTTTTCTATTTTACAAGGTATCTGAACGAAATTTAGTCTACAATATTAGCCAAGGTATAGCCACAATCTCCGAACAAATTGTATAACTAAGACAATTAAAGCTGTGGTAGAAATACATCTGTAAATGGTATATAATTTCGATGGAACGCAGTTAATGTTATCCTGTTTCTTTTGAATTTTAACTTAACCTTCGCTTAACGGAGAAAATATTTTTTTTGATGAGGGCGCATTGAAGAAACTAATGTGATAATTGATAGTTTAAAATGACTAACGCATGATGTATTTCCAATATCTAATAATACAGTATTAGCAACTTATCCTTAAATACTTGTATGCTACAAAAGCATAAACATAAAACATTAAATATTATTACAAACAACAGCACCACACGCACACGCACTCACCGCTTGTCGTCTGCAACGCCAACAGCATGCTAATCAGAAATAACATGGCGATTACATTGCCAGAACTGTTCCCTGCCTTGCCATACAATTTGGCAGTTGCCTTTTGTTTTGACAGCACTTCCGACGTCGCTGTCGTCGTTGGAGCCATCACTGTGCAACACCTACTTCGTGAAATCTGATGCTGAGCGTTTCGTTGTGGTATTTGTGCCACACTTTCACTCGCTTGTCGCCGCTGTTTGCACCGTATCAAATGCTGCTTTTGTTGCAACACCCAATTGACGTGGACAGACACAAAGACTTGGCGCTTACACTTTCAACAACGCACCAACTCAGCAACGCAACGTGACGTTTGCTTGCGTTATCTCTTATCCGTTGATTTTGTTTTAGCTTTTCGTATGCTGTATTTTCTTTAGTGATTGCTAACTGTTTGCACGCCTTCAGCGTTGCCACAGCACTGACACTGACACGAAAATTGACTGTCAACAACATCGATGCCGCGCCGGTGGAGTGCTTGCTGGCTGCCTGCCCCCCTGTAGGCTGTTGGCTGGCTTGCTATCGTCGATAGTTTATCGCACAGTTGCGTTGTTGCAGGTGTTTGTCGATAAAATGTGAACTGTTGCGCTGTGGTGGTGGAGTGTGCGAAGGGGCGGGTCTTTATCATTCATTGTCACAATTTTGTTGCTATTGCAGCGATTTGATCACTTAACGTGCACAAATAAACAAATAAACAAACAGTATGTGCATGTTTGAGTTTGTGTGTGTGTGTCTGTGTTTGGGTGCATAACATGACATTGTGCGACAGATAAGTGCTAGCAAATAGTCGGAAAGTGTAAACGACAGACAAGACAACATGTCTGTTTGCGATGTTGGGGTTGACTTCGACAATTGGCAAGTGAAGTGAATGAGATAAAATGTTTTATTATAAGGTCAACATTTATTTGCTGTGCGTACATACATATATGAATACATATGTGTGGCAAAAAATAGCATATAAAACTTATACAGTATTTATTATTATATCTTAATTTTTTTTTTTTTTTTTTTTTTGTAATATTATGGTTGTAATACAGTTTTATTTTTAAACGAAAATCATGCCGAAAATAAAAGTAAAGTTTTTTAAAAATTCAACTCAATATTTAGAAATTTGTTTTCAAATATTTGTTAAATTTTTTTCCAGAATGATCGTTATGTTCCTGGTTCGCCGATATTTCGCGATGATTGCAAAACCCCGCCGATAACACCTGCCCCACCATCGACGCCCAAGAGTCGCGGTAAAGGTGAGTATTTAGTTTTTAAGGTCTCTCTTACGCCCTCGCAACATGTTGCACGAAATATGTTTGTACTCATATTTGCTTTTTTATAATAACATAAGGTAAATCTTCGCAGTTATAAAGATACATGCAATGATGGAAAATTTCCGCAAACGTCATATTAAAATTCGGTTTACTCTCTGGTTTATAGAAGGAAAAAGTCAACAAATCATTTCCTTTGATGTAAATTTATAAATAAGAAAACAAACATACACGATGTTCCTTTAAATACAAAATCAAAATTTCTTCCACTTCTTCACTTCTGTTACAAGAAGTCAAGTGTGGCCTTTTATGGTTTTAAAGCTTAAATTGTTTGAACAATGCTTTAGAAGTTCATTGATTCCAAATAATTTATTTTCTCCATTACTTTAATTAATACCAAAAAGCACCACACTGCTTAAGTACTTAAAAAAGTGGTTAAATTTTTTTGACAAGCTATAAAATTATCCAAGGTCTTCTCTTCCATAACTACAAAGTTAAATATATGAAAATCTTCAGGATAAAATATAACAAATGAAACATTACTAAAGCTATCTAAATTCAAAATACTTCTAAATATCTTAAAGTGAGCCCATAATACCAAGCGCTTACGCGGTTATAGGCGAGTTTACAACAGCGCGTCAGTCGCCAGGTCCTTCATCATTCTGTCTTTCCAGCGAAGTGGAGGTATTCATCTGCTTCTCCCGGCGAGTACAGCGTCGATTACTCACAAATCTGAAGCGTTTTCATCCATTCGGACAAAAGCCTATTCGCTCTCTGTTACCATCAAACTCGAAATTCGTCGTTGTCGTTGCGTAAAGGACTATGAATCTTGCGCAGAACCTTTCACTCGAAAACTCGTAACGTCGGCTAGTGATGGATACTTGTAGAGTTTGGTCTTTTTTCGTCGAAAGATAAATTTACCTCTAAATTGCTTGCTCAGTCCGCAATAGCACCTGTTGGCAAGAGTCTTTCTGCGTTGAATTTCTAGGCTAACGATATTGTTTTAGTTAATGTTGGTTCCAAGATAGGCGAAATTATCTACGACTTTGAAGTTACGGCTGTCAACAGTGACATGGGAGCCAGTTTCATCGCTTCTTTATCCATTCTTGAGAAAGCAAAACGAACGGCGCTGGCATCGGAGTACGCCAGCAGTTGTATACTCTTGTAAAAATTTTAACTTTTCAATTCAGATCGGCAGCTCGTATTATTTTCACTAGGAGTAGATTGGAGAAGTCGTGCTATAGGGAGCCAGGTTTGAGTCCTCGTTTGATATCGAACGGCACTATCCTTCCCGATCCTGACGGAGCTGTTGGTATTGCCGTATTAGTTTTGCGGGGATAGTAAATTCAGACTTAGCGGCATAAAAACATATTATTTTCCTGCGGTCAAACGGAACTTTGAATTCTAGATCCACACCGATTAAGGTGAAATAAGTTTGTTTACGTTGGACCCCTTGGTCGGCAATCCATCGACCCCGCCACTTTGTTTTTCATCAGACGGGAAATTGCTATTCGAACTTCTTCCTAGTCGGGCAATGGAACATTTGATGATACGCTTTTACTGCCATTCGGAAGGTTGAAGAAGTGTTCTTTCCATAATTCAGTCACTCGATTAACTCTGGAGATTCTAGAAGAGTAGACACTACGTTAGTATCTTTATATTACAGTTGAAAACTTGGCGAAATCGGACCACGCCTTCCTTCCATATAAATTTTAATAGCATTTGATGCTTCCATAATATTAAAACCAAACAGCAATCGAAACCGAAGGCTAGTTTTTTTTTACCGAGAATATTTCCAAATTTATGAAAATATTAATAATATTATTAAATTGTCAGTAAACTAACTTACTTTAAAACTTTTGCGGCGAAGCTCTTCACACCGAACATACATTGTGACAAAAAAAGTAGTGCCCACCAGATGTATTACACTTATGTCAACAATTTTTCCAGTCCTCGAAACAATTTTCATAAGCACTTTTCGCGATAGCCTTCAGCTCCTTTAGCAAATTTTGTTTTATCTCTTCAGTCGACTGAAAACGGGTTCCAAGTAGTGGCAATTTGAGTTTGGGGAACAAGAAAAAATCACACGTAGCCAAATCTAATGAATACGTTGGGGGTTCAATGGTATTCATTAGGTTTTTCGACAGATGTTCTCATACAAACGCCTCAATACGGTACACTGTTTGAAAAAAAATTCACTTTTATCGGTACGAGTCGAGCAAGAATGAGTTTCATACCCAGACTACTTGCCAAAATCACTCGAACTCGCCTGATGAATTTCAAGCACCATACCCTTCACTTTTTTAATATTTTCATTGGTTGAGGAGGTCGTAGGTCGTCCAGAACGAGGCATGTCCTCAACGATCTCTCGACTGTCTATGAAAGCTTTGTACTATTCGTAGGCCTGATTGTTGCATCAGCGTAATAGTCGGTTACGTAGCAGCAGCGGACCCACTGATACATACATAAAGTAACTATAAAAACGTTACCAGACATTACAATATTAATAGTGGATGAATCTCCCCCTTTCAATAATTTTTGTACTCTTTCTAGTGACTTTTGCACACTAATAGTTACATTTAGTCCGTGAGCACATTCTTCTCAAGAACTTTTTGCTACTTTGAGTTAGTCAAAAATAATTTTCTTCAAACGTCGTCTAAAATGTATACAATTCCTTATAAAATAACCACCAACTTCGCGGAACTTTATGTATATTCACTTCTTCTACAAACTCACACTGCCCCAAATGACTAACTAAGCAGCTTAATCATATTTATATTGAAAACGTACGTTTTTGTTTAATTTCGAGCAGATCGCTCAATATTCTTTTATAAATATATCTGCATTTGAAAACCATAGACTCGTTTCCATGTAAATGACCCAATAAAATTGCTGACTGTTGACTTTAAAGCTAAAAACAAAGAACTATATAATTTATTGCGCTAGAAGATCGATAAAATACGTTTTGAGTAAACTTTAAATATTATCTGTTGGCTTCCTCGAACTGACATCATACATAAAGGCAGACAGTCAGTGCTTATTGCGTGTGTGTGATGCATTGGCGATGAAACTCATTGAATATACAAATCTATATATTATTATATATATGAAAGTGTGTTTCATTTTTAAATATAGCTTTGTTTGTAAATAAATAAATCCAATCAGTTTATGTTATACAATAAAAGGAACTGTGACGTCGGTAACAGGTGTTGTGTCATACACTAAGTGGATCAGTGATCCCTCATAGGTAGAAGGCCTGTGTTCACCATAAACTTTTGTGATGCATAAATTTATGTTTGTAAACATGTGTGAGGTCAAATAATAACAAACAAAATATAAAATATATTGAAAAAATATATATTGTTTTCCGTATAAATTATAGATGTATTTATTTTACTGGCGCATGTTGCACAAATGATATCTAATAATTTTATTCACCCAAAATGGTTTGTTTTAAGTGAAATGCTATATTTTAACAAGTTGAATAAAATTGGTTGCGTAACACTAAGTTCACATCTATATTTTAGAGTTTTAACGAGAGCGAAATCACAGCATAACCACGTCTCCAACCAACCTCCTTTAGGGATCGTATGAGTGTGACCCTACAAAAAATTACTGATTTTCGCGATTTTATTTGAAATGTTGAAATAAATATGATTTTCTGCCAAAAATGTCGTCATTACTATTTTTACCCATCCATATAACTAATATCTCACCAAAAAATTGTTGAAGCTGGACCAAAACTTTTCATGCCCCTCATACTGAATATCAAGACTTTCATTCAATGGTGGTTCTTTTTCCGCAAATGTGAGCCAATCTGTGAGACATATTAATGATTAAGGAGCGTTCCAAAGCAAAAAGGACTTTTTACATCCTAGAGAAACCGAAACGTTTCAATTAATGAAACAAGTTTATGACGATGATTGCCTATCCCTTAGTAGAGTGCACGAGTGGTTTCAACTTTTTTAAAGTGGTCGTGAGGACATAAATGAGCATCAACATATGGACCAATCAAAATCCGTGATCACCGGAAATTTCATCGAAACTTTGAATTCATCAAAAATCAGCCGAAATCATCATTGAAATTCATGGAAATGGAATTGAATATCTCCAAAACATCGATTTATCACATTTTGACCGAACATTTGGGCTAACGAAAGGTGTGTGCACGGTTTGTTCCGCACAAATTGACTGACGAACAAAAATTGCTCAGAATCCAACATTCGTAGGACATCATTAAAGTGGTTTATTTGCCCAAAAATCACATTTTAACCATTAACCACTCCCCGTATTCACCTGATATGTCACCTCGAAACTACTTCTTTTCCGGAATAATGCATTTGTCGAAAAAAGAAAAGCGTTATTCAGACGTAGAGGCCATTCAAAAGGCTTGCACCGGCTCCCCTTTTGTTCTGTTTTTTTCTGAAGTCTTTGGAACCCCCCTTGTACATACATATATAATGTGATGTAGTGAACCTTAAGCAATAAGAAGCTCAATTTCGATTTTTTTGAATGTAAAGTCATTTTCAGGTTATGACATTTGTATCGTACAATATGGTGGTTATCTTAGTGAGATTCAGAAAATATATTTTTGTGCCAAAATCCGGTCATAATGCCAAAAATGGATAAAACTTGGCAGTGCGACCCTCAAATATCTAGTATAATTATTTTCAAATCAATATCTTATCTATTATGAAGACATTTTAATAAAGCACAGTAAGCATCTTCTTCTTTTAAAAGTTTATAATAAGGCCAAAAATGGATGAAATCATTGCAACATCTCCCTCACATATCTAACACTTATACGGATTTTCAATTTCGCTCTGGCAGTATTTTATTTATTCTTATTCTATTCTTATTCTTTCTTTTGAAATTAACTATAATTTAATGATTTGGTGATAACTTTAGCTTTACTAGAAGGATAAGAGTTTGCGCTTACATTTTAAAAATGATTTCGGGCCAGTGATTACAATAAATCCAACCTC